TTAATATCGATACACAATCACTGACGTTATTGAATGACTTATTGTCCGCAAGATATAACCCTTGTAAATGTGGATAACAATCAACGTTAATGGGAGATGCACATGGAGAGCAAATGGTAGGATGGCTTAAGGCTGTTATTTCTACAGGTTTATCTTGTGTTTCTAACTTGAACTTAACTAGGTCACACTTATGCTTCTGATAACTATTAGTCCCAAACGTATTGAGACTTAATACCTCTGTAGAAATAGGCGTTAACCCTAGCTTATCCTTCAACTCATTGGTAATGTAACTGCGCTGACTACCTAAGTCTAACAATATTCTAACTGGTACCTGGTTTCTAGGCTCCACATAAGCGTTCGTTCGTGCCATTTGCAGCAAAACGTTCGATTTAACATTTCCTTGTGTTGTGGCAGTCACTGTTCTTGTGTCATGGTTCTCAGGTATATCACTGTTTCTTCGGTCCTTTCTTGCTCCTTTTCCTCCATCGCAAATCGACTGGTGATGGGATCCTCCGCAATTTCTGCAGCTTCGTTTTCTGTCACAATTTCTTGCCAAGTGTCTCGTGCTTAAGCAAATGAAGCAACGTCCTGACTTGTACAATCGTTCCTTTCGAACTTTCAAGTCGGTGACAATTGTGCACTCAGCAGTGTAATGTTTTCCTTCACAAAACACGCATTGTATCGGATTTTGACCTTTGACATGAAAGGATGACGCAGTTCCTTGAAAAGGTGGCCTTGTTTTCTGCACAGGTGGTGTCCTTTGATCCTTGACATTTATATTTTCGCTCATTTCACGCGCATCAACTTCCTGTTTGATAACTTCCATCACTTCACGTATTGACCAAACGTCCTTTGACACTTGTCTTGCGATCTGCAAACTTATCTCAGCAGGTATTCTCGACATGATAATAGGAATGAGGAGACTCCCATAGTGCTCTGATGTGATTCCTAATGCCTCGAGACTTCTTACGTGAACGTTGATGCGATCATAGATGGTACGAAGTTGATTAGCCCTGTCTGTCGAACACGTTTGTAGTTTAAGTAATTCTTCCATGTGCGAACTAATTATTTTCTGCTTATTGCCAAACCTTTCTTGAAGCAACTTTACAGCCGATTCATAATTTGCCTCAGTGACTGGGAGCCCTTGAATGGCTCTAGCCGCTGGCCCTTCTAAAAGTGAGTTCAAATAGTTGAACTTGTCTATGTTCGCCAGATCCTCATTTTGATGTACTGTGCTCTCGAATGACTCCCAAAAACTTGTGAATTTGACGATATCTCCATTAAAACGCTGTAAGTTTAGCTTTGGCAATTTCGGCTTTGCTACGATGTTCCTGAAAGATCGGGAGGGGGAGCTAAAAGCGGGCAACGGCTCAGGCCTTTCGGCCCCTGACGTTGCGGGCTCTGTTTCTCCCTCTCCTTCCTCATCAGGCCTGGGATAAATTTCCTGCGAAATTTCAATGACGGTTGAAGGTTCTCTTTCTAAAATGCAACTCTTAATTTTACTAACGACGAATTTTATGCCAAGTTCGATTTCATTTGATTGTAAAATGTCAGCTTCCAATCCCTGTACGTCTATTTTTCCAACGATTTCATTATCCAACGTTTGCAACAACTCAGTTTTGCTTTCTAACAATTTTCCGATCACTTCGAGCCGTGCCTTGCGCTCTTTGTTCCATTCATTGCTCACAATGATGGCTTCTGCTTCCTTTTCGAGGCGTGTCACAACCGATCTGTGTGCTCCTCGTGTCGCTTTCAGTCTTTCGAATTCTTCGACCATATTAAACGAGATTCTTGCCCACACTGTTGGGCGCCATTGTGTTGTAAGCTTCCATTATTTCAGGATTTCACGATAAAGAGGGCAAGAATTGAATTTTGACGATTTTTTGATAACACAACAAAACAACTTCTTATATATAATACTTAGAGAATACGGTTACACTTTTCTTTCCTAAACTATGACTCTCTCGTCTACCCTCATGAAACCTCCATGACGAGTCCTTAGCACGATGCTCACTGTTGAGATATTCACACGTGGTTACTCTCAAATCTAATTAAAGGCATGATATAATTTCGGCGCACGGGGGTACGCTTCATAATTCTAACAATATTTGTTTTTTCGATAAAATAGCTATGGTAATGTCTGACTACTTGTCTAGTATAAAGGGGGACGTGGCGTTCCACATCTGCCAGAATAACCCTCTTCCGTTCACTCACTTACCAGACAAACAACCCATACGAAAACTGTATACGGGAAATACCCACACCTCTGTGTACTGAAGCGGACATAAGTCAGTCTAAATCAGGACAGATGCGGGCGGGACACATTTAGTTCTGCAATTATTCATCAAATATTTTTGAAGATATCGCAATTGACACTTTAAGAAAGACTGTGAAACTGTTATTTTCCCAGCTTGCCTGATTTGCGTAGAAAAAACTGCAACATTATGCAGCAATCCAATAGTCATTCGCATTTTATGCTCTGACGGTAGAAAGGCGGTAGAAAGACGGTAGAAAGGCGGTAGAAAGACGGTAGAAAGACGGCAGAAAGACGGTAGAAAGACGGTAGAAAGACGGTAGAAAGACGGCAGAAAGACGGTAGAAAGACGGTAGAAAGACGGCAGAAAGACGGTAGAAAGACGGTAGAAAGACGGCAGAAAGACGGTAGAAAGGCGGTAGAAAGACGGTAGAAAGGCGGTAGAAAGACGGTAGAAAGACGGCAGAAAGACAGCAGAAAGACGGTAGAAAGACGGTAGAAAGACGGCAGAAAGACG